CCCAGAGTACGGCCCCCCCATCTCCCCCTCCCGCCACCATGCTCTCTACCCCGCAGCCTGGGGGTGCGGCCCCCAATCTCCCCCCTCCCGTCCCCCTGTTCCTCCTGCCCCCCACCCCGCAGCCGGGGGCTGCAGGCCCCGCTCCCCCCTCCCGCCCTCCACCTCGCAGCCCAGGGGTGCACGCCCGCCCATCTCCCCCTCCCTCCCTCCCTCCCTCCCTTCCTCACACCCCGCAGGCCGGGGGAAGGGGGGGGTGCGGCCTCTCGGTTGCCTCCTTCCTCCCACGTGTTGCGGCGCGGCCGGGAGCGGTGCTTGTTCCGCTCCCTGATTGTAAAAGGGTTTGACTTGCAGCTGACCCCAGGTCAGGACTTTCTCTCCACTAATCCCGCTCTCTTTAAACACAAAAACACTCTGCCTTCCCCTCGCATCCGTCACTGTAATCCCCCGCGGCTGACACCGCGGGGCCGGGAGCCCGGGCTGCACCGGGAGGGTCGCGGCGGGCGCCGGGCCGCGGGCTCCCGGTCGGTGTCGGAGTTCCCACCCCTTTCGCGCGAGCCGGAGCGATCGGCTGGGGGGCGGGGGGTGGGCCGCGTCCGGGTGCCTGGCGACCCCGGCCCGCTCGGAGGCAGCGCCCGGGGAGCAGCGGGGCGACGAGGGCCCAGGGCGCGGGGCGGAGACGGTCGCGCCGAGGACAAAGGGAGGCCGAGCGCGCAGAGAGAGGGACGGAGCCGCAGGCGGGAGGGGCCGGAGGTGCGGGGGGAGAGAGGCGGGGGGAGACGCGGGACCCGCGAGCGGCTAGCGGGCGGGGAAGGGGTGCAAACGGGGCAGCGGGGCGCCCAGGCCGGGGAGCCGCCACGGCTGGGGCCTCACCGCCCCTCGGCCGGGAGAGGGCGAGGGCCAAGCCCGGGGGCCGCCCCCCCCCCCAGGAGACCCGGGCCGCGCGCCCAGCGCCCTGCGCCTGGATTCCCGGGGGCGCGCGGCTGGAGATCAAGGGCCGGCGGGGGCGAAGGATGGGCAGGCAGGGGTCAGGGCTTCGCGGCCCCAGCGGGGCCCTGCCGTCGGGCTGGGGGGCGGGGCCGGGCCGGGGCCGTTGCGCAGGCGGGGTGGGGGGGCGTGAGGGTGAGGGGTCCCAGCGTCCCTCGCCAGGCTCAGCGTCGTCCCGACCCTGCAGGCCGGGAGGCGGGGATCGGACCCACCTCCCCCGGCTGCTCGCCCAGGGGGCCTGCGCCCCCTCCCCTCTCCTCCCCTGCTGGCCGGGCCTTTCAATCCCGCCGAATAGTCGTGCTGGAGAAGGAGCTGCGCCAAGGCCAAGTCTGCTTTTCACTTGAAGTTTCCAAGGAATCAAACCTATTATTACATTCTGCCGCCGCCGTTTCTGGAGCCTCTGCCCCGCGGGCCCGGCTGCGGAAGCGCGGTGGGGGAGGGGGCCGGGGAGGCACGGAGAGGGGGCGGGCGGGCAGAGCGGGCCCCGTGGGCGGTGGGTGCCAGCGCCAGGCCGCTCTGCAGCGCGCCTTCCGGGGCCCGAGGTGCTCTCTCGAATTCGCCGGAATGTTCCGGAGATAGATCTGTGCATGGCCCAGTCTTTGTCGGGAAATGAAATGCGTGAATATGCGTGTTATTCTTCTCCCACATGCATGATTTTAATAGACCTATCAGTCACGCTACCCGACACATCTGCCTAGCAGGCACGCCGAGCCCGCGCCCGGCTCTACAATTAATTCACTTCACCTCGCTACTGGTGGGTTTCTTGGCCGGGCGCGGGGGCTGGTGTCAGTCTCAGCACCGACAACAAAAAGGGCCCGTTAGTTTAAGGGTGATGGTGAAGGACAAGAGAACACCCCCCCCCACCCACACACACACCATTAAACCGTGCCACCCTCTGCTTGGACAGCCCGCGCGGCCCACCGCCGCTCTAGCGGCGAGTCTCGCAGCCGGCCGGGCACGAAGTTCTGCAAACTTAGTCCAAGGCCCCCGAACGAGTCCTGTCTCCACCCAGCTTTCTATTAAAATTGGAATAAGCGATAGAAATACCACCCTGTGATTTGGGCAGTGTTTCAGCCATCCTATAGAAATCATCAAACACTTTCATTTTGTGAGTACGATGAGCAGGACCTTGACAAGACCGACCCACGGTTAGTGAGACGTTTCCAGGGCCAAGTCGATATTTTCTCCACCAATGCAAGTCAGAGAAACGCCGCGGGGGTGATAAGGTCTCTGTCCCCAGACGAAGGCTAGCCTCCGTCTGCTACCCCATCCCGTCTGCTACCCCATCCCGGTTTCTTTCCGAATGGAATCATTAACGAATTTCCATTTCCTTTTCTCTCTGCCGTTCCAATCCACAATACAAATTCACTGCATTTAAGGAATTCCTATTTTAAGATCATCCTGGGCTTTTAACAAAGTGGCTCCCAGCATCTGGCATTGAATTTCAGCTATGTATGAGGCACATGGTGGGGTGGGTGGGGGGAGCCAAACTATAAGCCCACCTTCCAGGAAACCAAGAATATCTCTGGCTGAAACTCCTGCATGCTGCTAAACTTTTTCTAGTTTGAAACACTCCCAGTGTGACCCACATTACTAGTAGTGTGATGCGCTAAGACTTGGACGCCCATAGCTGAGCCTAGATACAAACCTGAGTGCACACATATGTGAGCGTGGCGGCACATCTGTCTGCCAGTTTAGTAAATGCAGGGCGATGTTGAGATGAGGAGTTAGCAAAAGAACCCAGAGAGTCTATTTAACTGTACATTTCAGAGTCAGTGTGGCCTGCTCCTTAAGCTGGGTGTGGTGAATTAACAGAGCATTACAGAATTTCCCAGGGCATCTCCCAGAGGAGACTGTGTGTGGCATTCATTCACTTATTACCCGACTATTTCTGATGCTGATTCACTCAGCAATCCATATATATATCCAAATACTTTCAGGAACAACTGCTTCACAAAGGATCAGATTGCTGAAGCTTTTTTTTTTTTTTTTTTTTAAAAAAAAGGAAAAAAAGAGGGGACTTTATTACCTCGTTAGAAAGAAGCAGTGGATATCATTCTTGAGATTTTTTGCAGTCACTTAAAAAAATGCATGGTTTAAGCAGAATTATCAATGACTCCAAAAAATTACACATATCAATTGCCAGGTTAGCATTTTACTTAAAGTCATTCTCCAGTGGAGGCTGAATGTGATTCTCATTAACCTAACATGGGCCCATTTTTGGATAGTCTATGCTCATTTCAGTACAAAAAAAAAAGAAAAAAGAAAATGAACAGGAGGCTTAATAGGGCTGATGAAATCAACACATCTTGATGTAGACTAAAGGCTTTTTCCCCCCTCAAAATATAATTTCATCTTTATGTTGTGACTAATTTCAAAATGTATTTGCTACAGTGTAACTTTTAAATGCAATATTTAATGCTGTCAGATTACTTGAAGACAAAAGTTTTACAGAAAACTTTAAATTCCAGAAAAAAACTGCAATGTATCCATAAACACCTAGAAAAAATATAATTAAAAAATTTAAAGCATCAAACACCCTCCGACTTCATCAGGAATAATAAACAGCAGTTTGTGTATCCCAGTTGACGCTGGGGAAAGGGGGGTGGTCGAGTGTGTGCGTGGGGGGAGGCGGAGAGAGAGAAAATTCAAGATCACTTTGCCCTTTCCCAAGGAGAAAGAAGTCAGAGGGAGGGGCTGAGGAGGGATGCAGTACATTTTGGTTCAGAGAGTGTTCCCTTGAGCCAGATTCTGATAAATTCCATTTGCAATCTTGTTAAATTGCAGGGGAACGGGGGCCTCGGCGACCCCACGGCGGTCTTTGTCCCTGCTCCCTATCCCTAGCCTGGTCCCTCCATCGGGGGCCTTCTCCTGCAGCCCGGGGCCGCTGGAGGACTCGGAGCCGCCAGCCGGCCCGCGGTCAGAAAAGACAACACGCCAAAGGGCCAGGCTGTAAAACGAGGGCCGGTGTTGTTGTTGTTGTTGTTGTTGTTTTAAATCCTGGTAATTATTTCTTGATCCGTATCAACACTATAAATGCTACAAAATAATCCATCGATTTAAACTTTCTTCCCTTGCACTGAAAGAAGCTCGGTGAAGATCGCACCGTCCCCCTGAGGATCCCTCACTTTTAGTTTATGCCGATCATTTCTCCTTCGTCAGATTTACCAATCGTATTTTGAGCTCACAAAACATGCATATAAAATTAGCACGTTCCAAATTACGGGGGAAAAGTGGGCTTTTTCTTTTCTCTCTTAAATTTATTGATTCAAAAGTCGATGCATTTTGTTTTGTTCTGTTTTTTTTTTTTTTTTTAAGGAGAGGTCTTTTTTTTTTTTCGGTTTTAGAAGAAAGACTTTTGGAAACTATGTACATAATCTGAATCCCCCTCCCCACACCGCAATGCCTAAAATAAAAATTTCACAATGCATTTACAAGAAAGAATACAAAACAAAACAAAAAAAATGGAAATGCTCAGATACAGAAAGTTTTACAAAACCCAGAATATAACGCTGCCATCTGAAGGGAGTGGGGAGACCTCTTTGTATAAATTAACAAACCAACTCAGAAAAGCGGTAACAACTACAAAAAACTCGTGTTTGGATCTGCCGAACTACATCGATAACAAATGAGAACGGCCTCGGCACCCGCGCAGGGCGACCGAGCGCCTCCGGGGAGCGGTGCGGGATGAGAGAGGGCGCGCGGGCCGGGCTAGAAAAGTTGGAGTCGCCTCTCGCTGGGTTTGCTCTTTGTCCCCTCGAGCAAAGAAAACGCCTTCTCCTCCTCCGGGAATGATAAATACTGTACAAAACGTCTCAAGAAAACACCGAAGCCAGTCCGCGCCGCCGGGCGCCGCTGCGCCGGGAGGCCCCCGGGGGCTCCGCGGAGGGCGAGGCGGGGGCGCGCGCGAGTCGCCCGTGCTCCCCTCGGGGCTGGCGCGCGGAGAGGTCTGGTCTGGTCTGTGCGGGGGCCGCGGGGGCCGCGGGGGCCGCGGGGGCCGCGGCGTCCCCGCGTCCCTAGATGTGCGTCAGGGGCACCGTGCCGTTGACGCCCACGCCCGCGCCCGCGCCCGCGCCCTGGTAGTGCTGCGGCAGCGAGTGCAGCCGGCTCTGCGCCGCCGCGGCCGCCGCGGCCGCCGGGTCGCCGGTCTCCCCGCCGGGCAAGTACATGCTGATCATCTCGCGCAGGTCCCCGGGGCACGGCGCCCGCGAGTGCGCGGGGGCGGGAGGGCTGCCGCTCGGCTCCGACTTGACGAGCGAGCCCAGCGCGCCCAGGGCGCCCGACGACGCGGCCGCCGCGGCCGCCGCGGCCGCCACTGCCGAGTTCTGGTGCGCGCCGCCCGCGGCGGCGGCGGCGGCGGCCGCGGCGCCGTAGGGGAGGCCGCCGTAGCCCGAGGGCGAGGCGCTCATGTAGCCCTGCGAGTTGGAGATGGGGCTGTACTGCAGCGCGCCCATGTCGTAGCGGTGCATGGGCTGCGGGTTGTGCGGGTGCGCGTGCGGGTGGTGCGGGTGCGGGTGCGCCGGGTGCGCGTGCGGGTGCGCGCCGCCCGCGCCCGGGTGCTGCCCGTAGGCCAGCTGCGCCTCCTGCATCATGGCCGCGGCCGCCGCCGCCGCCGCCACCGAGCCGGGGTAGGCGCCGTTGGCCCAGCCGTTGACGTGCGCGTAGCCGCCGCCCGCCGCGCCGCCCGGGCTCTCGAGGCGCTGGCCCACGGCCGCCGCGCCCACGCCCACGCCCACGCCCATGGCCACGGCCGCGCCGCCGCCGCCCGCGCCCGCCGCCAGCAGCCCGCCGGCCAGCGAGTACTTGTCCTTCTTGAGCAGCGTCTTGGTCTTGCGGCGCGGCCGGTACTTGTAATCCGGGTGCTCCTTCATGTGCAGCGCGCGCAGCCGCTTGGCCTCGTCGATGAACGGCCGCTTCTCGGCCTCGGACATGACCTTCCACTCGGCGCCCAGGCGCTTGCTGATCTCCGAGTTGTGCATCTTGGGGTTCTCCTGGGCCATCTTGCGCCGCTGCCCGCGCGACCACACCATGAAGGCGTTCATGGGCCGCTTGACGCGGTCCTGGTTGGCCTTGGCGACCCCGCCGCCGCCGCCGCCGCCGCCGCCGCCGCCCCCGCCGCCGCCGCCGCCCCCGCCGCCGGCCCCGGCCGGGCCCGACAGGTTCGTGGGGGCCTGGGCGCCGCCAGGCGAGTGCAGGTCGGTCTCCATCATCATGCTGTACATCGGGGCGGCCCGCGGGTTCACCGGCACCGCGCGGGGAGGGCCCGGGGCATAGAAGAGTCGGCCGGCGGCTGGAGGGCGGAGAGGGGCTCGGTCGAACGCAGCGAGACGCGCGGAGGGGGACAAGTCCTACCGGAGAGAAGAGTGGGGGGAGGCGGAGGCAACAGCAGGACGAGAGGCGACCACACGCGCGCTCGGCGCAGGTCCGGCTCGCAGGTGCAAAGTTTCTCCTCGCGCTCAGAACGCTTGCCGAGGCGGGCAATGGCCGGGGCCGCCGTCGCCGCAGCCCGGTCGCCTCGGCGGAGCGGGGCAAACAGGTGCAGTCGTGCCCAAGTTGCGGCTCCACTTTTCGGGACGCGAGCGGGGCGCGGGGCCTGGCCCGGGGCTGTCCGCCTCCTCCTCGCCGGCCGCCGCCGCCGCGCGCTGCCTCCTTCCTCCTGCGCCGGGTCCTCGGCGGCCTCCAACTCCGGGCTGCAACTTCTAGCCGCGCGGCGCGCCGCGTGCGCTGGGCATGTGCCGGTCCCAGGTGCCGGGGGGTGGGGGGTGGGGGGTGGGGGGAGCGAGGCGCCGAGGGGGCCGCGGAGGGGGGCACGGGGGAGGGGGCAGGGGGCAGCGCTAGGAGCGCAGGCGCGCGGAGAGGGCCAGAGAGCGGGGCCGCCGAGCCCGGGACTGGCTGCCCGCTGCCTGCCCGAGGCCGTGCGCTCGGAGCGGAGGCGCACGCGGGGCCGGCGGCGCGCGGGGCCCAGCAGCCATACGCCGGGCCCGGGCTGCCATTAAATGAGCGCGCCGCGGCCAATGGGAGCCGGCGGCGGCGGTGATTTGCATGGCGCGCTGGCGAGTGACGTGGGGAGGGAGTAGATGCTCCGGGCGCGGGCGGCGGGGCGGGAGGAGGGGAGGAAGGAGGGGGCGCAGGGGCAGGAAGGAGGGGGAAGGAGGCCTGGGAGGGGGCACAGCCACGCTGCTTCCTGAGCGCGCGCGGCGGCGGCGGCGGCGGCGGCGGCGAACCCCAAGCTCGCCCTCCTCGCCTCTCCCGCCCGCGCGCTCCGAACGATTGAGGTTGGGTTTAAAAGCCGAGACGAAGAAAGAATCGTTCGGGGCGGGAGGCAGAGCGAGAGGAGGGGCGGGGGCGGGGGGCGGGGTGGGGACGCAACCGCGAGCCGCGTTTCGACGAGCGCGGTGGAGACCCAGCTCCTCTGCACCCCCGGCGGCCAGCTCGGCGCTTGCGGGGAGCGGGAAAGTTGGGGCCGTGGCGGTGACCTCTCCCCCAGCTGGGCCCGAGGCCTGGGAGGGACAGGTGCGCCCTCGGGAGCCGGGGGTGGGGGTGGGGGTGGGGGCGGCGGGGGGCGTTTGAGATCCGCTGCTCGAACGCCCCCCACGGGTCCTCCTGCGCGACCCTCCAGGGGCACCTGCTCCACCGCGCTAGTACGAAGTTCTCCAGTGCCCCCTCCCGTAGGTTGGCCTTCCCAGCCCTGGCCGCGAGAATTCCCCTAAGGGAGGAGGAGGCATTTTCACCACACTTGGCTCCAGAGCTGCTAGGAGCATCAGCTCGCAACTTTTTTTTTTTTTTTTGAGGGTCTTTTAATGAGCCTGGGGGTTATAGGCGCGTACTCCGCCTCTCCATGTGGTTTCTTTCTCCAAAGTAATTGCTAGGGGGGTCGGAAACAGCAGGATCTATCTGGAATCTAGTAGTAACTCAACAACAGTAGGGAAAGTTTGTTTGAATCGCAAAAGAACGATGGAGCCGGCGCTCTCCTGGAGCGAATCTTCCAGCAGCTGTTTACCTAAGACCTGAGAACTGTGTGAACGGAGCGCGGCCCACTGGACACGGGACGGGACAAGTGGAGCCTCACGACCAAGCGTTCCTACAGGACGCGAACGAAAGGCCTGGCTCTCGGGAGGAGGAAGGCCCCACTTGCGGTTACAGTTCCCAGACTTGAAAGTGTCTTCCATACGGGGACCCACAATCTCCAAGCCCCCACCGTTGCGTTGCGCTCACGCTACGGTGTCAGTCCGAATGATAAGTGGCCCAAAGCCTTCTTGCAGAGAATCCCTTGAGCCCAAGCCTCGGTCATGCGTACTCCACGCGGGCGTCAGTGTGCTCACCCGTGGAGGCAGGCGCCGGCGGGTGGGTAAGGCCCAGCCTAACCTACGTGAACCCAGCGCCTTGTAGTCGAGGTAAACCTGTGAGGATGAGGATGACCCTGAGCGTACTAATGCGGATGTTGAAGTATATTGGGCAGTGAATACGTGACACCTTCCCTCCATCAAAATAAATAAATAAATAAATAAATAAATAAATAAATAAATAAATAAATAAATAAATCTCATATTGTGACTGTCCTGACCCTACTACTGCTGCTGGTCCAGGGTGCAGGAATCCTTTCTCTCCTCTCAGTCACTATGATTGTTGTTGTAGCCTTTTTTACTACTACTTCAAGGTTCTACAGTACGGGGCGGGGGCGGGGGGCAGCCGCAAATCCGTTTCTGCAGATTGAACTGCTTCCGTTTCAGGCCATTCAGCATTTCCTAGTGAACTCATCAGTAATACATAATTATATTAGAAAGGAAACGTCATTTTGTATTCAGTTTTTCACTAAATATCTAGGTTATAAACTTGGTTTTCAACTACCTTCTCATTTCATCAATCGAGTTTGTTAAATCTTTTGATTTGTTGTACGCACTACCTCCAAATATCAGTTACATTGTAAGTGAACAAAAAAAGAACAAGGATATAGTTTAAGAATGCTACAGACCCGTTTTTCTTTTGATAATTTAGGAGGCGATGGGTGTGCAGTGAGATCCAGCGTGGTATAGAAAGTCAGCAAGACTGAAATAAAGGAAATGGTTTACAAATTATAAACTATATTATCCACTTAGCAGTTGAAAGATTTCTTTTCCTCTGCTTTTCAATTTAGATTTTAAACTAAATAGCCTAAGACCCCCTGAAAATGCTTTGTGTGAGTCAGGCTTGGCACATTATTTTCCATATCAATGGTGCAATTTATTTTATAAACACCCTGCACTCCAGTTAGCATTGCAGGAATGCTTTATGCTTTTGGGAACTTGGATAGCCGACTTTGAAATGGTCTGGTTTCTTTCTACCATAGTCCTGAAAATTGTTTCCAAATACGATGTTACTCTTGTTTTCCAGAGCATCTAAATAGGAGGTAAATGGTTTAGCCTTGTGTGAGATCATGCTGCTGCTTAGCGTTCGGGGCACTCTCCGTAAGCCCTTTTTAGTGATGAGATGTTCCCTTGGCCCAAGCGGGTGCACTATGGGTGCCCATGTGCAGAAGCATTAAACCAGAGCCGCAGGTGTAACTTGTTGCCAAGCGATAGATGACTGGCAGCAGCTGCCTATGCCAGTTAGGCAGTGGCAGGGCGGTGAGTGCCAGACCTCTCAGTGCCTTCCATCCTGGCATGAAGATTGAGGAGTGCCATATCAAACTCCTGCCGCTAATGGCTTTTGGGAGCCTCTGCTTGCTCCTTCTGACCTGTCTCACCAGTGACTCTTTAAAAGGAAACAGTCCAAAAACCAGTTTGAAAAACACTGCCTCTCTCCAGTTTTCATTTCTCCCTCCCACCCCTCACCAGGTCGGCTGGGGCCTCCTTCAGATGGAGGGCTTTTCAAAGGTTGGGTGCTGGAGGATATGAAGGCAGACTAGACTATTTCCCAGTAACGAACGTCAGGGCCCAGACCCTGAGCGAAGGGTCACTTTGGTGTAGACTGACCAAATTTGCTCTTTTGGCTTCTCAGAGACTTCAGTGTAGCTCTTTGGGCAAAATGCCAAAGTGAAGATCAACTTGGAAATATGGATAAGTAAAGACACATTCTGTTCTTTTATTTAACTTGTGGATATGATCCTGAAAGAAAATTCAGACCCAAGCCTGGTCAGAGGAAATAATCTACACATGTATGCTTGTGTATCTATACGTATGTGCACAAAGAGTATATGTACATACATACATGTGTACACAATGCAGAATATATATACATATATGCATATATAAACACGTGTTCATGCAGGATATAGCCATACGCATACACAGGTGTGTAGATGTACATAATATACGCATATACATGTGTGTGATGTATTTAGGCAATTATACAAGAGCCCTTGACTTTCAAATAAACCGAGTTCTGGACTTCTAACACCTGTAACCTATACTGCTTTTGTGGAGTAACTAAAACTTTTGGCTCTGGCTTTCCCCCTCTCCCCGTGGTTGTGCTCAGGACAAACCCGGGAAGCAAGGAGGGTCACTGTGCATACAGAACCCTGTGTAGACTGCCCCTAGCAATCTTTAAATGAGAGCTACCTTGCAGGCACCTAGAGGTGATTTTCGCTACCAGCGCCCGCCTAGACCTCCAAGCAAGTGGAAAGATGGACAGGTCAGGAGTTGGGGGTGGGGCCGGGAGTCAGTGAAAGGTCACCGGAGGGAAGCCGCGCAGCCTGGGGACGCCTGTCTTCTGGGGCCTCGACGCCGCCCTGGGCCCGTCCTGGGCACATCCGCCCGAAGGTGCGCGCAGACCACCGGCCGCTGCCCCCCACGGTCCAGTTCTTGCGGCTTCCCGGGCCTGTGGACAACCCAGGCCCCGCGTACGCGGCTCCGTGCACCGAGGCTCCGGAGTCGCCCCAAAAGGCTAAGACCAGAGTCTAGGGAGGCAAATCCTGAGGGAGGGAGGCGCCAATTCAAGGTCAGAGTGGGAGAGAGAAAAAAAAGTGGTCGGAGGAGAGCAAGAGGGGAGGAGGAGAAGGCGGCGGAGAGGGCGAGCGCGGGCGAGGAGGCGGCGGAGGCCTTGGAGGTCGTCTCCGCCGACAGGAGGCGCAGACCCTGGAGAGGTGGGAGGGGCCGCGGCACCGGCCGGGGGCCGCTGGAGGGGGACAGCGCCGGAGGGCGGCGGCGGAGGCCTCGTCCCCCCCCCCCCCCCCGCCCCAGCCGGGAGCCGCGGGAGCGCGGGCCGCGATCGCCGTCTGCTGGCCGCCGCCGCCCTCGCCGCCTCG